ATATTTAACCCACAGAGTCCATTTAGTGCTGCTCCTATGTACATGTGTTTAGGGCTGACTTCTTGGGATTAGAAAACCTGTCAGCCGGCTCATCTCTGGAGAAAGCTGCTTCTCTCTCAGCAGTCATTGCTTGTCTGTAGCTCTTCATCTAGGGGTGGGGCCTTGTGAAATTTCCCCCATCCATATTGACAATTGATGTTGTCAATTGTCAATTGATGTTGAAAGTGTGTGGGTCTCCTTTAGGGAACCATGTTTTTCAGATTTTGTGGGTATAACATCCCTGTCCTGAGGACATTATCTCGAAACAGGTATCCAGGTTCCCTGGAATCTTCCCACTCCTTCTTTACCATTGTTCCCTGAGACTTAGGCATAGCTTTTTAAAAAACACTTTTTATTTGTTGTTGAGTTTCATGCATATGTGCATTGTATTTTAAACGTATCCACCCCCAACTCTTCCAAGATGTCCCCTTACAACATTGCTCTCCCAACCTCATGTCCAGGTGGAATGAAGGGAGAAAGGGGGAAAACGGGGTGGAGGTGGTTAAAGTGGGGAGAGGGAAGAGAGGGTAAGGCAGAGGAGGCATTAGAGGAGGAATAACTAACAGTAAGGGTGTTTGAAAAAGCTATATAGATGGCTACTATTTATAAGCTTCATGAGTGTGAGTGTATGTGTGTCCCTCTCAGCTACCTTTTAGGAACTGCTTTTTTAATAATTTATTTTTATATTTTATGAGTATGAGTCCATTGTCTACGTGTGTGTAAGGGTACCCGTGTTATGCAATGGCTGTGGAGGTCAGAAGAGGTGTCGGGTCATCTGGAACTGGAGTTCCGGATGGTTGTTAGCTGCCATGTGGGTGCTGGGAATCAAATCTGGGTCTTCTACAAGAGCAGCCAGTGCTCTTAACCACTGAGCCATCTCTTCAGCCCCATATCTTTTAAGAATTTCTTAACTTTATTAAACTACCTAGAGTAAGTTCTGAGGTATACTATGCATCCTGACTGATGGCCACCAATACCATTACGCCTTCTAATAATAAATTATCATTGTGTGGCAATCTATGTGCCACTCACTTGTCTAGAGTCTAGGTAAGCATGACATTATATGCGACTGCATAAAACAGACCTAGCTCCTAGTGAAGTTTGTGATCTCTTAAGGAGCTGATCAGAAGCATATATTCATTTTCACAGTTTGGTATTGGGTGACACTGAGCATTCTGGCAGGTAAACCTCATACAAGATGCATTTTGCTATAGGAAACTCCACAGATACATTTTTCTCAGAGAGGAATGTGAGAAAATCAGGACTGAGGTGTTCGGTGACTATGGTTGCCACATTTGCTGTACTTTCCCAACAAGAAATGTGATGACAACAGTACTCTGTCTATCTGTGATGAATTCCAGTTGTCTAGTAGGAAGGCACAGTGGACTTAAATTCCCAATCATGTCGCCCTGGAACTCCTGCAAGAAAACCGTATACATTGTTAGCATACTTCAACACCTAAACCTCACATCCATGTAGATAGAACTCCTTATTATACCACAAGCAACCTCTCACTAAGTTAGCTAGACTCTTCATTGTAATGCATAAATGAAGTTTATGTAAAAAGACCTAAATGTGGATTATGAAATCCTTTGTCTCTTACATTCTAAAGTTCACATCAGCAGTCCATCTGAGGCTTTAGCTTCTTTGAGAAATTTTCCGTTCTATTATTATTCTGTCAATGGGTATCACTATTTTATTAATCTACCAAAGAACATTGTAAATTTTTTCATATGTTCAAAACTTCTAATAATATCATCCCCATAATACACAAATTCTATTCTGTTCTACATAGTAACTTTTCAGTTGCCTGATTTTATCCATGCATCTGACCTTTTGATCTGCAATGTCCTTATACATGAAATGGAAATGATAGCAGTATGTCTATCCAATTAATAATAATATCTCCCTTTGGCATCATGGACAGACCAGAAACAAGCAATTAGCTTAGTCCTGTCTCCAATGGGTATACTTTCTCCAAAACATAATAGGGCATAATCCAGATCATGCTAAGCTCTAGATTGTCATATTTACTGGTATCAGATTCCCCTTGAAAAAGCTGTGGTCTTTGGAGTTGCCAGCTTAGCATAATGTTAAGAATCACCAGTTAGACTCATAACAGTATTTTATGTTTGTTTCTCAAAATAATATTCTCAACTCCACACAAATGTGTTCACTTTAGTCAAGACTGTACAAGTTTCCAAGTGTACCATAAAAGTTTCTCAACAGTGAGGCCTGGGGATAGATTAAACACATATTAGATTATCAATTATGTAGACCGAAAGAAAGAACAAAAGGTAAAGGACAAAGAACTATTGGCAGCTGATTACTCCTGGGTGAGGGACAGTTGATCTTCTTTAAGGGAGAGACTCTAGATAGGCTGAGACATCCAGCCTCGGGGACTGAGCAACTACCGGATTCTCAACCTCTCCAGTGTGGCAGAGTCATTGTTGAACTACTCAGACTCTATCCTGTAAGCTAATCTTATAAATCCCTATACATAGGGATTTGTGCTTATATATTCATTTTATCAGCTCTATTTCTTTAGAGAACCCTTATACAATTGCTTCAAACAAAAAAAGGAGAGAGGAGGAAGGACAGAAAAGGGTGAGAAATGAAGTGTATGTCTTGATCTAGAAGCATTAGACTGCCCATGTCTGTTTAACTCAGCAAAGGGTACATATTCAAACTACTGATATAATTCCCTGACCTGAGCAAGCCTATTGGTATTGGCATAGAGATTCGGTTACTTTAGCTATAAGTAGGTCCCTAAGCATAGAATAAGAAGGGTCTAAAAGTTTTTATTCCACTGGTTTAACCTGATTATTTCATTTCACATTTACAAGGACTAGATTTTATTCACAATGTGTTCCCAACTCAAGTATCTTTTCTAGTCTGTTTTGGCTTTGAAACAATAAAGAAATTGCTTAAATATGTCCAAAGCATTATTGTATACCTAAATTGTTATTTAATAGCAAACATCATGATTTGAAGCACAGGCTTTGGACTAGGACTTTCTCATTTGCTGATCGGGTCATCTTGGGCAAGTTACAATGTGAGTCTGAGTTTCCTGCTCTAGAAGATTAAAAGAATAGCAGTGCCAATCACATATGGTTGTCATGAGGATGAAACATTTATCTACCTAAGGCATTTGATGAAATGAGTTATTCTTACCATTCAGAATTTTTCAGTCATTTGCAGCATGAATTTTCCTTGCATTTTACTTCAATCCCCCTGTGTATGTATATGTTGGGGAAGAATGCATGCATGTCAATATATTTTATCATTTTTCACAACTGAACTACATGTTCTTGAAAGGTGAGATCTATTTCAAACACTTCTTGTATTTCTTACTCAGTGTTCAATCCCAGGCTGTGCTCACAAAAGAAGGTTAAAACATTTATTAAAGGGATAAACCAAAATAAAGAAAAGGCTACAGCCTAGGAGGTGACATTTTGTATTTAAACCCAATGTCTATAATTTTCTTCTTCATTCTAGATATCACATTCCCAATGTTAGAACTTAACACACCAAATGAGATATTAGACTTAGAACTGGACATTTAGAATTATCTAAACTAACTTTGCAATAAAATGGCACCCTGTCTTCCAGGCTCTATCTATTCAAGTGATATGTAGTTTTAATCATAATATAGTTGAATAGAGGTAGTTCTTACACCCAAGTGTTGAATTAAGAAAACAGTACATATAAAAAGAAGTGGAAGAGAGAATTTCTATAAGGAAAACTGAAGCCATATGGGGATGTGGAATAACCAGCAACTGAGAGAGAGGTCGCTACTCTGGTCAGAATGATCAGGAAGCAGTTCCAAAGATGAGTCACTTGAGCTGAAATCTAAAAAGTCAGAAAGATAAAACTGTGTAGATGGACAGGTGACAAAGGACAAGAACAAGAAGGCCCAAGATGACAGTGAACTTGGAAAGTAAAGTAAGAAGATCCATGTGTCTGGGAAGCGGTGAGTCAGAGCGGTGTGCTGAGGAGAAGATGGTGAGGAGCCAGATCACCAGAGGCTTGTTAAGTCATATGAAGGACTCTAAATCTCTTCTAAATGAACTGAAAATGACTCAAGTCGATGAGTGCTATTAGGTCTGTGGTTGACGAATTATGCAAAGAAAAGCTTTTAGAAAGAGCAAGAGTGAAAACAGTGGAACCCATAGTCAGACTAGCAAGCAATTCTGCTAAACTGGCAGCAACAGAACTAACCAAAGGGACCCTGCTTGGACATTCATGTTGATGAGGAATACCAGCAATGTGGGGATCATGGCTCCATTACATGCTGGGGAATAGTTCATTCTTGAAGCAGTTTAACAAACTGTGATCAAGACTGCTGAAACTCTCTCTTTGGGCTGAGGATGTATCTCAGTAGGGTTAGTGCTTCCCTAGCACACACAAAACTCTGGATTCCATCCCCAGCACCACATAAATGAGACATAGTAGCACAGGTCTATAATCCTAGCACTTCAGTGGTGGAGGCAGAACCATCCAGAATTCAGAGTCATCTTCACACCATAGAGCAAGCTTGAAATCAGTCTGGGTTACATGCAATCCTATCTCAAAATTTTTTGTTTTTGAGTTTTAAATGTTTAAAAATATTTCTCCTCAGTATATGAATTCTACTCTACATAATCCTCTGAAATAAACGCTTTGGAAAAGAAACACACACACACACACACACACACACACACACACACACCTGGGAAGTTATTGTACCATTAAATGTAAGGAAAAACAAACAAAAATCTGTTGATACAAAAGTAATAAAAATTATGGTATTTAGCTCAGTATATTTTTATGATGCAATTAAAATTTTAATTATGAGAAAATTCATCATAGAAAATGCCCAAGCTTGGCACCTGTGGAGAACTTAGTGAAGACCTTGCTGCATCTTACTGAGCAGAGCAACGGTCTTCCTGGAATCTCGCTTCCGCTTCGGGAACCCAAACATGAGCTCTCCAGAGGAGGCATCTGTGCCGGGAACTGATTTTTTCGTGGAGGCTGAGGAGCAGCCCAAGAGCTTGAGTGTTATCCCAGGGCCTCCAGAGAGCCATGAGGGTGAAGATAGCCTCTCAGGCCCCAACGGCACCGAGACCCCCTTGGTGTCCCAGCTGGAAGTGACAGAGGGCAGAACGGTGGTGCTTTGGGCCCGTGAGAACTGGTCAGACTCCCCAGTCGACGAGGAAGGGAGGCCAGGCTCGCCGGTTGACGAGATAGGGGTTAGTCTAGATTTCCTGCCCCATGTCAGAGTCGAGACTCTGCCCATCGAGCAGATGACCAGCCTGGAGACAGACCCGGAGACACCAGACACGGGAGAGCACCCATCCTCAGAGAGCGTTTGCAGTGATGCAGAGGCAGGCCCTAGCAGGAGAGGCCTAGAGGCCACAAGCTGTGAGGAGGCAAAGCTGGCCTCCGCTGCCCTTCTCTACCCCAAGGGACCAGAGCAGGGCAGGGCCTGGGTGACCCCGAGGAGGAGCACCGCAAGTAGAGTGATGGTCAGCAAAGATGCTCAATGTCCTTCCTCTGAACCCGAGACTTCAGATGAATTCGATGAGGCACAGATGATGAGGGTGACCATTTGCCTCAAAGATGGAGGCCAGGCCAAGTCCAGCAGCCTAGTGGAGGCAGGAGGCCTAAACAGACCCTCTAATGTCCAGATCACGGACAGTTTAGTTCGGATGCCCTCCTCTCTGGTAGCCTCTCCTTCCTGGGCACTCACCTCTGGCGTGGAAAGGCAGGCCTCAAAAGAGCTGGAAGCCTTTCCCCCTAAGAAAAAGCAGGGGGTCGAAGGGAGCAAGGGAGGGGGCAAGCCCAGCTATGCAGAGGCTGCTGCTGCTGGGGCTGCTGGCCTGCCCAAGGCCAGTCCTAGAAAGAAGGTGGTCCAGAAGAGGAAAACCCTGTGGGACGCCTCAGCAGTTACCCGGGGCAGAGCATTCCATCATTGGGGCCAGAGACTAACATCAGCTCCTGTGGAACCAGCCACCTTTCCCCGACACTTGGGTGTTGGCCTGTCTGGGAGGTCCAATAAATGCTCATTGATGCCTTTGAGACCCAAACAGTGCAAGAACTGCTACACTGGGAAGAGATCTGGAGCAAAGAGGACAAGGGAGTTCCAGCCGGTGACCAGAGAAGATACTGATACCACCAGAGATCCCTCCTCACAGGCTCAGCTTCCAAAACACAGGGCAGATCCACCTTCCCAGAACGTGCTTCAAGGAGAATTCAGCGGTGGGGATCCCAACACTAGAGGCTCTCAGGATCCAGGAAACTCCTTAGCATTGAGTCAGAGAAACATTGCGTCAAGATCTGCACCCTCCGGTGACCAGGAACCACCTGTGGGTCCCCCAGACCCAGAGCCAGAGATGCAGCAACTACCAGAAACACAGGGCTGTCCTCGGTGTCCAGAGTTACAGAAGGACATAGAGGATCTCAAGAAACAGCTAGCAGCTATGCGGTCTCTCAACGAAAAGTTCCAGGCCCTTTCAAGTTAGACCAGCGGTCTCTACAAGTAGCTGCGGAACCCCAGAACTGCAGTTCAGACACCTTTACCCATTTCTTCCAGATTCTTCTCTCTTCCCCTGCTTTTGCAACCTGCCCTTCCCAGTTGAGAGTAGTTTCAAGTTAAAACGCTTCTTATGAAGAAAAAAAGTTTGTGATATATTGTAAAGCAAATAAAAATGACTATAAAAATATGTCAACTTGCCTCTGCCCTCTTAAAATTGGTCTGTGTGTAAACAAGGACTGACAAAAGAACATGAAGAAAACTGAAGTGTTAAAAGGGAAAGGGTGTGTTATTAACATTTTCCATAAATTTGTCAAGCTACTAGTTTTTATTTTGGCTAAAAAAATTTTTATCATTTTATGTGTTTGAGTGTATTACGTGCATGTATATAAGTTGATCTGTGTAGTGTCGTACTGACAGAGGTCAGAAGAGGGCAAAGATTCCCCTGGAACAGTTGTCAGCCACCATGTGGGTGCTAGGAATCGAACCCAGGTCCTCTGCAAGAGCAGCCAGTGTTTTAACCGCTGAGCCCCTTGGCTAAAATTTTTGATGTTTTCTTGAGAATGGTTCCACATCAAGGGAATCAAAATGGCTCTCCAAATAAACTCAAACAGCATAAACTCAAACTACAGTCCTAAGTGGGTTAGAGGAAATTGCTCCTTTTTGGAACTGTCTTTTTGCAGAACTTGAATCAAGGAAGGGAAGATACAAAAATCTAGATGCTTCTGTGTCATTTTAATGTTTTAAAAATGAATAGAGTCTTCTGAAACTTTTTTCTTTTGGTTATCCCTGCTTCGTTAGAAAAAGGCCTGCCTCCAGGCTTTGTGCACATCTCAAGGAGCGACCTGTCCTTGTAGCAATATCAGCACACCCCCAGGAATTCACTTCACCAGATGAATTCTCATTCACAATATCAACGCACCCCCACAGGGATTCACTCCACCAGATGAATTCTCATCCACTTGGTACCTAACTAGCTCTACAATGGCATACCCAGAATTTCAAAGCAAAGTAAGTTCTGCTGAATGTCTAGCCCCACCAAAACCTGAATGAAAGAGCTCTATGTAATAATTCCCCAAGTACAAAACAGAAAACAGAAGCAAGGCCATAACCCTGAGCTAAAAGCAGATCAGATTGTTTTCAAACAGAAATGAAATCAAGAAAGATGAGGTAGGAGTTCTTTTTTCCCACAGTGGTTGTCCCAGGTCCCAATGATGTCATCAGTCTATACTCTTCCTCCACTTCACCCCGTGACAGATACCAAGCCAGTACTGACCAAGTATACAGTGCACTTAGGAATCTACAAATAGAAAATGTATTTTTGATTTTGTTTTGTTTTAAGACAGGGTTTCTCTGTAGCCCCAGCCGGCCTGGAACTTGCTATGTAGACTAGGCTAGCCTCAATCTCAAAAGATATCTGCCTGCCTCTACCTCTAGGGTGCTAGAAATAAAGGCATGTGCCACCACACCTGGCTATTTTTAATGTCAAAGGTGTATCTCATGAACATAAGGGTTTACACCAATATCTATTAGAGAAACTGTGACACAGTGTTAAAATAACTATAACGCTACATGGTATAGATGACAGAGCCTTCCCAATTATAAATTCAGCTGAATCTCAATTCCACTACTTACTAATGTAACAACTTGGCTGATTTGGTTTGATTTTTTGTGCTTTCATTTCTGTTTCTGTGAAATGGAAACAATAATAATTAGGCCTCGTGCACTTAAATTTAAAAGAAAATATAAAGGATGCCTATGATTATGAATCTAAATAGAACTGTAGGGCTCAATTTCAAAGGCAGATTTCATATTCTGTGGGTAAAATAAAGTCCCTTTTTGTAATTATTGGAATAATACAAGAATTGATAAAGAGAGCAGTTGTAGATCTGTGTGATCCCAAAGATTAAGCAGTATGAGGTAGTTTGGAGGAAACTCCAAAGTTAGAAGCTGCACCATTGGTTGATAGCCATTGAACTGGGAGAGTTCAGGCTAAAAGCGTTCATGCACCAAGAGTCATGGAAAATGCAGGGAACCAGAGAAATCTCTGCTCTTAGAAGAAATGCTTCCATATTTTTCTCCTATATGATCAAACATTACTCTATGGAAAGTTCACTTCATTTAAAACTTATCAGAAAGAGTTGCCAAACAGATCACTGCTGGGTGAGAGTTAGTCTTCTTTAAGGGAGTGACCCTAATAGGTTAACCAGGGTCTAGTGGATGAACTAGTACCAAGGGACATCTGGGGACACATATGTGTCTAGATAGGTTTTAACATATTTCACAGAATGCATGAAATCTGGTATGGGGTAATGGGGGTGCAGATAATGGAGGGGGTCTAAATGTGATTAAGATATATTGTATGAAATGCACAAAAATTCACTTTAAAATAGAAAAATAAAACAAAGTAATCAAAACGTTTGTTCTATTTTTAAAAGAACAAACAAAAACTAGTAAAAATAGCAGCACTCACGAGGAAAACGTGGTTATGTGAAAAATGCAGCAATAGATGATAATTGTAAGCAAACTTAGCAACAAAGAAAATCACCAAACAATTGTCCTTGGTTAGTACATACTCAAAGCAAAGGGAAAAAAAATTAGTAAGACTACTTTCATACAACAAAGAGAGATGAATCATCATCAATCCATAGCACTCATGAAAGAATTCTAGGGAAAAATAATTATAAACGAAAGGCCATACTAAAATGCTCAAAAAATAAGGACAGGTAACACTATGAAAAATATGAGGCTGGGGATGCAGTTCAGTGGTGGAGCGCCTGCCTGGGACGGGTAAGACCTTGGGTTCCATCCCTAGCATGGAAAAAACAAAAGGAAGAAAAGGAAACGACACCATGAGAAACTTGTAGGAAAGAACATGATAGATTTGGGCAACTGATAAGAGCTAGTTCCCTTTAAGACGATACCAAGAAATAAAATATTCAAAGCAGAATAAAATTCAGTAAATTAATAAAATAAAAATTCAATAAATTCAATATTTAATAAAACAAATAGAAACATGCTGACATAACAAAAAAGACCATTGTAGAGAAATATGTTTTGAAACTTATATACTAAATATCTTTCTAAAGATAATATAAAGTCCACAAACAATACAGGGAAATTTTGATAAATTTGATTACCTTTTTTCAATACATCATGAGAAGCAAGAAGTTCACAGAAAAAAATCATTCACAATTTTATGAAAGGAGGTTTGGTCTTATCATAATGAGATGTGAAAATTAAAATTCTAATTAGATAACACTTCTTAAATACCAGATTCTCAAAAAGTGAAAATCTCAGAAGCACTTGAGTTTACCAAGTAAATTTGTGTTGGGAGCTTTGGTTCATATTCGCTATATGAAGGGCAATTTGAAGATGTCCATAAAGATAAAAATGTGCACACTAACAATTCCAATTTTTGTAATTTATTTTTCAGCTATTTCTAGGCCCTTAAATGATAAATATATTGAGAATTATTTAAAGTAGCAAAATGACCAAATTTCCATCACCTAAGTAAATTATAGCACAGTTAATAGCAACAAAGTAACATACCCCAAAATAATAAGAAATAGTCTTATATCTATGGAGTAAATCTGCCAGATGAATCATAAATAATAAAAACAAGCCTCTGTGAGCTTGTGTGTGTGTTTAAGTGTGCCTTTGAAAATTCATATACTATCATGGGAAGAACACAAGACAGTAGTCACTGTGTGTCTCTCTGGTGAGGTAAAATGAGGAATGTAGGGAGTTGATGGAAAAACAGGAACTTCGCTTTGATTCTACTAAATTTTGTATTATCTGATCATTTTTAAGCTATTGCCTAGGGAAATTGGGATTAGTCTAACAGAATGGAATGGGAAGGTTTTGGGGAACAGTTTAGGGTTTTTTGTTTTAATGTTATAAACTTGCTTCTGTATAACAGAATGGAATGGGAAGGTTTTGGGGAACAGTTTAGGGTTTTTTTTTTAATGTTATAAACTTGCTTCTGTATTTTTTTTTGTCTTTTTGAGACAGGGTCCCCCTGTAGTCCCAGCTGACCTGAACTCACTATGTAGACCAGGCTGGCCTCAAACTCATGATCCTGCTGCTTCTGCCTCTTCAGCATATCCTACAGGCGTGCACCACCACAACCGGCTGTATTTCTTGATATAACAAGTATTATTTTTATCTTGGCTGAAAGTTTCAAAGATTAAGCACAAAAATAATTTTAAATGCTCTGTTCTATTTAAAATACTTCATCCCACTATTTGGCTGTTTGTGCCAACACTGTGAGTGGAAAATGTGCCACTCCTGCTACAATAGTGACAAAATGCTCGGTGTATTATAAGAATGCAAAGACTCTGTTAATTCTGAAGGCAGATGGGTGGTTACCAGGAAACCCAGAGATGGAGATGCAGATGAAACTGGCCCTTGAAGACTGTCGGTTCACTCAACAGAAATCTGGTGCAAAAGTGTCATAGACACATGGTAAATAAAACATGCTCATAGGAAAGCACATTGGTGCACAGAACCTGCCACGTTTCGGGAGTGCCTAGATTCCGGTAGGGCACAAGAGAAAGAACTAACTAGACACAATCTGGAAAGGGGAGGGGGCGTGGAGGGGATGTTACAGAAAGTCTCTTTGCCATGCCAAGGTAAGGTGCCCTTATATAGTGCACGGGCCTAGAATTTAAACCTAATATTCCACTGTCACAGCCACAGGTAAGGGGGAAATCATCAGAATTCCAGTTGTGGTGTTACAGATGGCACTGTGTGTGCAAGGAGGCAGGAAGGGGTCTTAATGTCCTGTTGGGAGGTTATCGTGAACTATGCATGGTCTCTCTGTGTACGTGCCAGGTTGAACACTGAAATTCCTGGGTTCTTATGGCTATGAGCTCATTCCTGCCTGCACTTTGCTGAAAATGGGACAGGAACAGAACGATCTAGCTTTTCTGGTTCCTCCCTCCAAGCCTGTTCATGGTGTCACCATTATGAATACCTGAGTAGGAA